CAAATTAAATGTAGAAAGCTGCAATATTTTTTTATTGCGACAGTTGACATAAAATAACTGCATTTTCACTCTACAGCCTCATTCTCTTCCCTTCTGCTCCTCCAGTTGCTCCAGCATTGCTGCTTTCTTAGCGAACAGCTACTGGTGCATTTATGCCACCAATTAGCATGGAGCATGGAACTAAATGTCTGCATTAAGGAAGGCATACACTGTACAAGTTTTTGCATTTTACGGACAGATTCTCCTGTCGTGAGAGAATGGTTTGGATCGGGTTTCAGTCTAATGGTGCGTCCTGCGTCGTGCCTCGTTACACCCAGTAGTATACTGGGTGTAACGAGGGGTGATTAGCAGGAGTCGTAAGGTCGGAGAAAATCAAACATGTTTGAAATTCAGTCGCTCCTGAGGCGTTGGTGGGTAAATCGTGCTGGGATTTAAGAAGTCCTGGAAGAAGGGAGTTCTTCTTCCAGATTGACGAGTCCGACCAGCGCCTTCTCCTTCGGGTGAGTCCGATGTCTAGTTTTTGGACGTACGGTGTGAGCAGGCGGATCATGTCTAAGAGGAAACACATACATTGTGAGCTAAGAACTTTTAAACCCTGAAATGTCGTCGTACAGCTTGAGTTGTAGCTGCATGCAAAAACTGAAAATATCGTAGAGTGTATGCCCAGCTTTAGGGAAGATGCAGTTTTTCTCTTTCCTTGTTTCTGTAAAAGTCTATATAAAACTCTTCAAATCCTCCCTGCTCTCCTATCTCTCTGCGCTGCATGACTTTAAATGTGCAAATGAAGCGATAACGTCATGTAGCGACAGCCAATAGGGACGTTTCTTCCTGAGCAACACTGAAGGTCAGTTTTTCTGAGTTTATTTTCTCCGGCTGGTTGGACTGACGTGAGCGCAGAGGAAGCATGCAGTCATGCTGGTGACATACTGGGGCTTCCTGGTATTGGATCATTCAACATGTGCATGAAGACTGGTTTACACTTTTGACAGAATTCTGACTTGGATCCCAGAGGTTCTGAGTTTGAGTCCCACTCCCACAGACTGCCACTCTGGGTCCCTGAGCAAGACCCTTAACCCCACACTGCTCCCCAAGGGGATGATATTTATGCAGAGAGGGAATTTCATTACTCTGCATTTGTGACAGTGGAACGACAATAGAGTTGAATTCTATTTTTTCTATTCTGCACGGCAGCTATAACAGTGATATGAGGGAGCAGCATTGCTGGTGATTCCCATCCATCTTGGTAACACAAATAGATTCTGTTATATTCAGAGCTTTTTCCAATAGATAATCAGCTCTGCTTAAATCACTCTGGACTGATCAAACTGTCTTAAAGGCAGTTTGATCAAGGAAGCAGTTGAATGGTGCTGATAGAAGTGTTCAAATATGATCAGCTGATAACTGGTAAACTGGTTACCACTGGACTCTATAAGCTTTATCAAAAAGGAATGAAAGAATTGCAATATTCTGCAGATGAAAGAAGGAAATTCTAAAAACCTAGAACCAAGATGTTTTACTTTATTATCTGAGATCAGTTTAATCCCATAGATAGATTATTGGAAGAGGAAATCAGAGGGAATACTTCCAAGTTAAAGGCTTAGATGAAGATAATAGCTGTGCCAACTCTGAAACTTCAACTGGATCCAAACCATCTAAACCCAGTTCAGATCCTAGTTACAGTAGTAGTGGTTTAAAGGTTCCTCTGTTTCTTTGATGGGTCCTTGACTGGCCGGCCAGTATGCTTGGCTGGAAACCAGAGGTCAGACGACTGGTTTCCGCCTTAAGCTGAACTTTGGTTTATCTCTGGAAGGTGAGGCAACATCTGATGTACAGAAGTAGCAGTTTCAATCATAGATAGAGGAGTGCTAATGATCTTATGTTTAATAAGATCAATCTTAATTATAAAGAATCCCATAAAATCATTGCTGCTCAGAGCAGGTGGAATGGACGGTTCAACAGAGCTATGGCTCTGGGTGAGTTTGGCAACTGGATTTAAAAGAAATCTAGGATTATTCTTATTCTCCTCTATTAATGAGGAGAAATATGCTGCTTTGCTTTAGGGTCCTCTTATACAGCAGGAAACTATTTTTAAAAATTCCTTCTTGATAAAGTTTATAGTTGTGCTGCTATAGAGGAAGGGGCCTCTATGAGAGCGTGGCACATGCACCGCTGCTTTCTTTACAGTATCAGCGCAAGGATGGATTGGGGTGGGGGTTCAGTGATTAGTCCTGTTTCTCTCCTATATCTATAGGCTCAGCTTTTACTGGATCTTCTCTCTTTCATATTTGACATACAAACTGTCCCGAAGCTCGTCTGATTAACTTCCTTTCCAGACAGAGCCACCTGTGGAGCTAGTTTACTGTCAGCTTTTTTAACATAGAAAGTATTCATCAATCAGAGTTTCTATGTTCCTTTTCTATGTCTGCTTCTGTCTCCTTGAACCCCAGTGGGCCTCAGCAGATGGCCGCTCACACTGAGCCTGGTTCTGCTGGAGGTTTCTTCCTGTTCAAAGGGAGTTTTTCCTCTCCACTGTCGCTACAAGCATGCTTAGTGTGAGGGATTGCTGGAGAGTCAAGGACACAATGAAGGTGAATATTGTTGCTAGCTCACCCAGGTGGACCAGGTCCTACCAGCGCCTTGAGATGAAATATGTTGTGCTAAAGATGAATTTTGGAAACTTTCAAATATTTTTAAAAGCATTAAAATGCATTTAATTGCCTTATAGATGATTGCTGTGGCTCAACCTGACACTTTAGTTTTAGATGCATGTGGTGACATTGACTGTAACCCCCCCCCCACATGTTTGCAAGCGAGGGGCTTTTAAACAGTAAATCCCAGAATTCCACTGACCTAGTAACGGGTTGGTTCTCCTCCACATCCTGTCAGCGTATTTCTCATGCTGAGGTCATGGATGTTTATTGCGCTCCAACCTGCCTTCATTCGCACCCTCAGTCGGCTACACTGCCTGCTTTGCTCCGTGTCATTTCACTGCCTGTGGCGTCACAGAGTGTCTTCATCGCTTCAACTGGCAGAGACCAGAGAGAGACTGTTATCGACTTCAGAGGTCCGTCTTTACGTCCTGCTCCGGCCAATGATCACCTGGTCTTTGGGGTTTGCTCCTCTGAGTGCGTCTTTTGGACCAGCAACACCAGGTCGTGGTTAAGAAGATATGTTTCCAGCTCATCTAAAAACCAGAGAAAAGTACGAGCCCCCTCCATCATGTGCTGCATTTAGGAGAAGCGAAGGGCTTTGACCTCCAGAAAGCTAAACTATGCCCGCTACCTTCACTCATGAATAGTATTAGGTGGCATTTGGAGCACCCCCCCAAAGATCTGCTGATGTACAGCATGAGCTGCAGGAAGCTGTGCTTCATCTGCGGTTCTTAGCAACGTCCTGTCCTACCAGGAAGGACTGAAGCAACTTCCACCTCAGATCTTCCTATATTGGCTGTTGAAATGTAAATGAACCTGCTGCAGCTTATATCCAGAGCTGCTTATTCTCCTTTACTTCCTCTAGATGCTATAAAAACCGTCGCAGGGAAGAGGAACTCTTCGTTAAAACTGGACCTGTAGAACTTCTGTTGCTACTTCATCAAAAAATGACTGAAGAGGTAAAAACGGAGGACGTTAAAATGAAAAGAACACAGACCTGAAATATTCACATTAGTTTCTACCTCTGGGGGAAAAAAGTCCTGCGTGTTTGGTTTGGAGGATGGCGGGTGTATCTGCGAGGTCGTGTCCATGCTAGCGTCTTCATAACCGGGTCTGTGCCTCAGGGATGTAAATCTCGATGCTGTCGGCGCTCTCTGTGGCTGAGTTCTGCCGCACAGAGGCTGCTCTCTTGGCAGCCATCAGGCGCTTTCTGGCCTCCTGCCGCTGCTTCTCAGAGCTCTCCAGCGAGCGGTCTCTGGCCAGCGGCGGGTGGTGGTGGGGGGCCACTTTATGTGGCTTTTTTGGCACAGGAGGTGGAAGTCGCCTCTCCTGGTGAAAGAAAGGGAAGAAGTCAAAGACTGAGAGGATCTTAGGAAAATAACCAAACACTCTCACTCCCTAATGGTCAAATACTACATTGGAATTACATCTTGGAACTTATGAAGAGGAGAAACAGCTTGTTTTATATGGAAGCTAAAAAAATCACTTTTAACAAAGACAGTGAAGCTAAACCGATGAGTTATGGACTGTGTCAGTGTTTCAATAAGAACTGATAAAGCTTCTAGTTAGAGTGGCTCAGGTTATCCTGATCTATCTCTA